GTGCAGGAACGTCAGGTCCAAAGGATGCGCTCTGCTCTTGGCACTGCTTTCTCGGTGGTATGAGGTCCCCATGTCTCTGCTCACTTCTCTTTTTTATATCTCAAAAGAGATTGGCTCAAGACACTACCCAATTGTCATGGTTTGAATTATGTCCCCCCAAAACTGTGTGTATCAATTTGGCTGGGCCATGACTTCCAGAATTGTGTGGTTTGCCTCCATTTTGTGATTGTAATTTTATGTTAAAGAGGATTAGGGTGGGATTGTAACACCACCTTTACCCAGGTCACATCCCTGATCCAATGTAAGGGGAGTTTCCCTGGGGTGTGGCCTGCACCACCTCTTATCTCTCAAGAGATAAAAGGAAAGGGAAGCAAGCAGAGAGTTGGGGACCTCCTACCATCAAGAAAGCAGTGCCGGGAGCAGAGCACGTCCCTTGGACCAGGGTCCCTACGCAGAGAAGCTCCTAGTCTGGGGGAACATCGATGAGAAGGTCAGGAGAGAGAAAGCCTTCCCCTGGAGCTGATGCCCTGAATTTGGACTTTTAGCCTACTTTACTGTAATGAAATAAACTTCTCTTTGTTAAAACCATCCACTTGTGGTATTTCTGTTATAGCAGCACTAGATGACTAAGACACCAATCTTGTAGACCTCATCAATATAACTGCTGTCAATCCATCTTATTACATCATAGTGATAGCATTTACAACACACAGGGAAATCACATCAGATGATAAAATGGTAGACAATCATACAATACTGGGAATCATGACCTAGCCAAGCTGACAGACATTTTGGGGGGACACATTCAATCCACAACAGAGGTCTTTTGCAGCAGATTTGCCCAATGCAATGAGTCATTTGATTTCTTGACTGCTGTTTCCATGGATGTTGATTGTGGAGCCAAGTAAAATGAAACCCTTGACAACTTTAATCTTTCTCCATTAATTATGATGTTGTTTATTGGCTCCGTTGTGAGGATTTTTGTTTTCTTTATGTTGAGGTGTCATCCATACTGAAAGCTATAGTCTTTGATCTTCATCAGTAAGTGCTTCAAGTCCTCTTCACTTTCAGCAAGCAATGTTGTATCATCTGCGTAACACAGTTTGTTAATGAGTCTTCCTCCAATCCTGATGCCCCATTCTTCTTCATATAGTCCGGCTTCTCGGATTATTTGCTCAGCATACAGATTGAATAAGTATGGTGAAAGGATACATCCCTGACACACACATTTCCTCAACATATCCCACCATTTCTACCTGTCACATCACCTCAGAGCACTTATCACTCTCTGAAATCATCTTATGTGTTTGTTTACTTGTTTATTGCCTAGTCATTGAAATGTAAGCCTCCTGAGGGGAGTAGCAGGGGCACCAATTTCTTCCAGCGCCCAGAACATCAACAAGCTTACAGTAGGCACTCAGTAAAGATATGTTCTTGAATATCTCTTGGGAGAGGGCTGGGGAGCTAGGCCAACTCTAGACCTCACCTCAGGGGCCACAGTTGGGAATACACACAATCCCTCAGCCTGGGGTCACTGGAAGAGAAGGGGTGTAAGCCATAAGGTCAGGGAACATGGGAGTTGGCCTGAAAAACAAGGACAACAGGCGGAAGAAGATAAGGTACTTATTTCCCTGCCCCAGACCTTCTGACCTAGACCTATGACAATCCCGTTCTTCCACAAAACCGGCCCCACCTCCAACCCTAGGCCCCATCCACTCTTAGGCTCCACCCCAAAGCAAAAATCCCAGCCCTATTTGACCCAAGCAATGCCCCTCAAGTCTAGGTCCCACCTCTCAGCCCCAGTCTCATACCTCCCCCCCTTCACCTTAGACAGTACCCCAAAACATGTAATATTCAGCTTCGTCAGCCTAGGCCCCGCTCTCAAGTCTAGGCCCCACCCCTCTATTCTAGGCTACCCTCCAAAGCTTCCTTCAGCAGCCTATGCATGATCCCTCAAGCCACAGGGGTCTGGCCCACTCAGCTCAGTCCAGTCGCTGGAATTTCCAACATAAGCTCTGCTCACTTTCAAGGTTCCCTGTTACGGTCCAATCGATTCTGACTCATACTGACCCTAGAGGACAGAGTAGAACTACCCCATAGGGTTTCCAAGGAGGACATCATGCTTGGTAGAGGGTCAGCAGAAAAGAGGAAGACCCTCAACGAGATGCATTGACACCGTGGCTGCAACAATGGGCTTAAACACACAGCAACGATTGTGAAGATGGCGCAGGACCGGGCAGTGTTTCATTCTTCTGTACGTAGGGCCGCTATGAGTCGGAACCCACCTGAGAGAAGCCGACTGCCACAGCTTTCTCCGATGGAGTGGCTGGTGGGTGCTAACCGCTGACCTTTCCTTTAGCAGCCAACGTCTTAACCCTTGTGCCACCAGGGATCCTTTCAAAATCAGGAGGGAGAAGTAGCCCAAGGAAAGCCTGGAACTTGGATTAGGGAACCTTGAAGGGAGGTTTCTGGGAACACAGGAGGTGGTCCTCAGCTTGTACTGCCCTTCTGAGGAGTCGCCCCAAAGCCAAAACCACGCCCAGGGGCAGAGTATCCAATAGGCAAGGAAATCACGGTGCTTACCTTGCTTACTAGATCATCTGTAGTGAACAATTTCACATTTTTTCACCACATCAAAGATTCTGCTTCTAGGTATGACTGGCATCTTTCTCCCAACCTCACAGCACCTTCCTACAGAATCAAAGCCTCTTTTCAAATTTACAATCCCTGACGGGCAGATGACCCAGCAAGCAAAGTAAGCACCGGCTTACTTGTGCTTACTTACTAATCTGTAGTGAACCATTTCACATGGGTTTTACCACACATCCATGTAAAATGGTTCACTACAGATGAGCCGGTAAGCAAGGTAACCATCGTGCTTACCTCACCTATTGGATGATAGGCCCCCTGGCCACGCCCCATTGTGCTGACTCTTGTTTGGATAGGGGCCTCTGCTCTGGCCTTTCTGATTGGTCCGTCCACCATCCTTGTAGCCATAGCCATTCTGCATTGGATGGCTCCTCTGTGTCACCCTCTCTGATTGGTCCCAGCTTTCCAACTTCATTGCTTCTGATTGGGCAAGTCCTTGAACATGCCTTTTTCTAATTGGATTGTTTACAATCATAGGCTGGATGGAAACAAAAGTTCAACTTGGGTGGGTGGGGGAACCTAGGCAGGAGGAGATTGGACCTTCTCCTGGGAGAGGGTGTAGCCATTGGCCACAAGAAAGTCCTGGGTTTGAATTCTAACTATACAGACTATTAGCCAACCTGGGGCAAGCAGTGTTTACTTCTGTGTGTGTTTCCTCATCTGTAAAACGGGGATAATAATAGTACCTTCCTCATAGGGTACTGCAAGGATTAAAAGAGTTAATGCCTGTAAACACTTAAATGACAGTAGCTGGCACGTAGCAAGCCCTCAATAGGGACTAAGAAACCAAACCAGTTGCAGTTGAGTCGACTCTTGACTCATAACGACCCCATAGAACAGAATAAAACTGCCCTATAGGGTTTCCAAGGAGCGACTGGTGGATTCGAACTGCCGACCTTTAATAGTTAGCAGCCGAGCTCTTAACCACTGCGCCACCAGGGCTCCTCAGTAAAAGTTAGCGATTATTATTCATATGATTATGTAAGCGCATGACCTTGGACAAAACTTTTTGCTTTTCTGACCCCTCAAGCTAGGAATTCCTTGAACTGTTACTTGAATGACCCCTTCCTTCTATCCTCAGCCCTCCTCCTCTTCCGTCTCTAGCCATCAGAGACTGGGGCTGTGATCAGAAGGAGAGATAGAGAGAGACATCTCTGTCCGAGAGATGCGGTGGGAGGGGCTAGGACTGGCGTCAGAGAGGAGGGGAGCTCATCCCGCCCAGAACATTGGGGACGGGGACAGAGGGGAGATTTCTCTACAGCTCAGTGCAGAGTGACTATCCTGAATCCCTCATGCAGAGGACTTGGCCTGATTGGGGACAGGGAACACGGCACGGTGAGGAAGTGAGGGGATGGTGCCTTATGGTTGGAAGGGAGTGGGTAGGGTTAGAGCTGGGCTTGTGGTCCCTCCCACAACAATGACAAGGCTGGGGGAGGGGCAGCTCAGGCCCAAGGTCACTGTGTCATTGTTACCATGGCAACAGCCACCTCTCTACAGGGAACCTGGAAAGGGGTAGGGGGTAATTCCCAGGGCCCTGAATCTGGGGACAGAGAAAGGAACAATCAGAGGCAGGGAGGGGAAGGAGAGAAAGCAAGAGAGTGTAATTCATCCCTGTGATGACCTAGCCATCTCAGAATTCTCAGAGCCTGGTACACTGTGGGTGCTCAATAAATGTCGATTAGAGACACAGACAAAAAGCCTGAGTCAAATAACCAGAGATGCCAGAAAAAAGGAAAGAAGACTCTCCAGAAGGGGGGTGGGGCAGGTGGCGTGACCTTTCCCGGTCTCCTCAACTTCATACCTCTCCGGTGGTCCACTGAGGGCCCTGGATCCTCTTCACCTTTCCCATCCCTGGGCCCTCAGGCCTAGCCAACCATGCAAATCATCCACCCCCAGCAACTCCCGAGCCCCTGAAGCAGTTATATTTGATCCTTCAACAACTTTTTGGCTTTTAAATTCTTCCTGCCTTGGGGCTCAGCTGAGAAAAGTAGCATTCAGGGCAGCTAAGGCCTGCGGGCCCCAGCGGGGGAGGGGAGGGGAGGGGAAGGGGAACAAGCTTGCTTGCCTGGTTTACTCTCAGGAACCTGGGTGTTCTTGTTCCCTTGGGAATGACCTGTCCACGGATCTAGATATTCCTCCAGGAGGCCCAGGCCTGCCTCATTCCCCTGGGAAACTCTACAAGCCCCCCCAGCCCCCTCCCTACTTCCGAGAAGCAGGCTTCTCCTTTCCTCCAGGAACTCAACTCGCAGTTCCACTTGGTCTGCTCGCCCTCTGCTGACCTAAGGCTAGTACTGCAGGGACTGTGGGCCAGAGCCCACGGTGAGGGGGGGAAACAGCCGGAACTGGCGATCTTTTAAGTTCTTGCATTTTTAATTATTTAGGATCTCACACGTGCAGAGATTTGAGTCCCCAGTTCTCTTGGGGACTCAGATATCAGGAATTCAGGTCCCCAGCCCAGAGGTCAACGGAAGAAAGACAACTTCTCTCGGAGCCAGGTCTCTGTGAGGTCGTCGGTGGTACGGATTTCAAACACCTGGGCAGGGAGAGGGCTCAGCGTTATGATCCACTTAGGAGCGGAGACAGTGAGGACCCAGGCCCCCTCCTCTCTCAGACCCAGGCACCCAGACCCCCGGCCCCGTCCGCCCTAGGACTCGGGACCTTTGTGAGCTCTGCCGTCTGCACCAGTCTGTTTTTACTCCCGGCGTACATCATCTGTTGTTCGGGTTTGCAGCCTGCAGGGGAAGGGAAGAGGAGAACTGAGCACAACTGGGGGACCCTGGAGTGTTCTCTAGGGTTCTAGAATGTGCTGCAGGCCCTGGTGTTTTCTAAAGGTCCTATGAGCTGTTCTAAGGAGGCCCCCAGAAGCTATACTCAGAATTCTAGGTTTGTTTAGGGGCCTTGAAGTTACCCCGCGGCTCCCTGGAGACGATTTAGGGGGGCCAGAGATGAATTTCCAGACAAAAGAGAGAATGGGTTGGCTTATGCCTCAGGACTGGGGAGGATGGGTGGGTTCTATGATGAATCTGAGCCCCCACCCCCACCCCACTGCCCTCCCAACACTCACACACACCACACACACTTATACACACCGCATATTCCACACACACACACACACTACGCACGCCACACACTACATACAAACACACACTCATACACATTTGCGCACACACTAACACGGGTGTCTACACAGATCTCGCAGACACTCACACAGGCACTAGCACGCATTCACATACACACACACTCTAACCCAGTCACACGTTCTCATACAGGCACGCACACACATTCGCACACTCAGTCATACACATACACAGTCACCCACACCCTCACTCACAGCTAACACAGGCACCCACACCCACACACAGCCACCCACACCCTCACTCACAGCTAACACAGGCACACACACACACACACAGTCACCCACAC